AGGCCCAGAGAGACTCTGTGAATGACAAAGTCTTGTTGGTAGATCTCTAGGAGGACACTCAACATGGAAAGCTCCGGGTTGAGGGAATCACTGCTGTCTTCTCTTGACACCCTAGGGGGAAAGAATATGGACTGTCTGAGGAAGTTGCCCTGTATTTAAATCCCAGACCAAGCGCTTGCTATATGATCATTTAAAAAAAAAAATCTCCTTTTTAAAAGTTTGCTAAAATGTATTTATTGAATGAGCTATCCTTAGAGGGCTTTTAGAAGCAAAATTGACTAGAAAGTACAGAGAATTCCCCATAAGTCCCTTGCCCCTTCATGAACTAACTGCACGGGTGCCTTTCATCACTGAAAGGTTCAGGCTTTGACCCTGATCTGATCGGCTCTACCTCCTTAAGAGACAGACCCCACCCTCTGACAACAGTCGGGGCACGCACAGGAAAACTCGCTAAGTCATCGCCATGCGTTATGGCCTGCTGAAGACTCTGGGCATGCGTGGAATCTCAGTGCGCATGCGCAGTCTTCCCTTTAAAAGCTCCAACTTTCCTGCTTCACTCTCTCTCTGCTTCCTCTCTACTCTCTCTCTGTTTCTTCTTGGCTCCCTCTCACCTATGCACTCTTTCTGCTTCCTCTCTACTCTGTCTCTCACCTACGCACTCTCTCTGCCTCTCTATGGCCACCGGCCATGGCGGTCAGCCATTACCCCTGTTCCTCTTCTCTCTTAGTCTCCCTACTCTGCCGGGCCATATAATAAACTAGTCAACATGTCTCATCTTAAAGCTTTCTCTTTTCCTCTTTTTAAATAAAAACATAACAATCACCCCATTTGTAGGGGAGATTGCTCTCTGCTTATCTTTTATGGGCTTGGACAAGCATGTCATGGCCTCTAGCCTCCATTTTAGTGCCACAGAGCAGTAGATTTTTGTCCCAAGAAACCCCCTGTGGTCTGTCTTAGTGTTTTTATCTTTAATTTTTTCTTCTTTGAAATGGAAAAAAATGACTGTCTCATGGGAAGTTCATGACAATAAAACAAGGTCGAGTACTTCGCTCTAGGCATGGTTTGCTCTAGGCATGGGCTACTCATACTCTGTTCCAGTGAAAAACCCTCATTACAGGGTTCTGACTGTACTGTGTGCTATGGGAGGAAAGAGAAAACTGGGAGTGTTGGCTGAGTTTTTTCAAGGACATCTTGGGCCACTGCTTCATCGGGCCTGGGTGGCGGGTGACCTGGGGAGCAGTAGCATGAAGAAGAGGTACAGAGACACACCGGAGTTCAATAGACACTCTGAATTGTCCCTGCTCCTGAACTAAATCACGCCAGCTGTATTCAGGCAGTCCTCTAGCTGCTCTTGGCGGGGACTCAGAGAGCTTGCATGAGTCACAGCCACGTGGCTGGTGATGAGGGGGACAGCCCGTGGCCAGACTGGGCCACACTGGTTTGGAGAAATTGTTCCTGAAAGTCCCTGGCAGGGAGTGGGTTGCTGTGGGGCTGTTAACCTGCCATGCAAATCAACCAGTAAACAATCTGTGATGAGAAGCCCAGATGCTCGCTCACTCTGGAACACCAGCCACTCTTCCAGGTTCAGGTGGGAATCAGCTCCAGGGAGCCCCACGTAGGAGCAGAGGCGAGGTTGCCTCAGTCCTCCTGCACTTTCACAGGGTGCTTTCTCAGAGCACTAGTGTCCTATACGCAAACAGGCCATGCCTCCTCCTACCTGAGGAGGAGGAGGAGGTCTGAGGGGTACCCATGGTACATATATATCACTTGGGGTGAGAGAAATCACTAGTGGGGTCTCTGTGTACTGTCTAGACAAAGTAACCCAGCCACACCATGGTGCTAGAAATATGGATGGGCCATGTGGTGCACTCCTGTGGGCACCTCAGTCAGGTTTGTTATGAGGCAGGGGAGAAGCAGGTTTGGGGGATGCCAGGTACTTGCTGTAGATACACTTAAGATTTATTGACTTGTGGTAAGGAGGCCTAAGGAGCCAGCAGATAGAATAGAGCACATCTGGTGACCTTAATTTTTGTTTTTATGCTCTTGGTTAAGGGCTTTGGCTGTTCTTGGGGCTGGAGGAAGAGGACAGGGAAAAGGGCAGGGGCAGGACAAGGAGGAAGATGGGGACAGAGAGTGTAGGCAGGGACATGGCAGGCTTGGTTTTCAGAAAGCTTCTGCTCGTGTGTTGGGAAGGGCTTTAGTGAGGACGCAAAGTAAGATCATTGGACACTCAGCACCATGTATGTGTAACAAGGACACAACATGCTATCATGTCAATTCAGATTCTCACAGAAGTGCAGGCAGCATAGACAGGCTATCTCCAGGTAGGACTGAAACACAGCTGTCAGTGTGTAGTGAAAGCCCCATGACACAGATGGGTTTGTAGTCTTTCAAAACTAGAGGGTCCTCCTGACCCCAAAGATCAAAGCAAATGACCCAGGAAGAATCATACTCCTTGGGTTTTGACAAGCCTAAATGTCATCCCCAGTCTTCCTCACACTTCCAGAGGACAACCCTGCTTTTGTTGAACAATTCAGTCCGAGCTCGCCGGACCACTCCTGGTAGCTGTTTTGTTCCATGCTTCCTTCATCCAGACAGAGAACACATTAGAAATTCCCCCAGGCTCTATGATGTGGCAAGCTCTGCAGCTACTTAAATGATAGCAAATACAAACCCATCAACAAGAAGCCATTGCTGGCCTTAGCTTTAAGACCCGTCAGTCATGTTCACAGCTCAGGACTAGACTCCCCCATTACTCAGAAAACATTTTCCCTCTCCTCTGTTTGGGGACAAAACCCAAATTCCTCTCATTTCTTAGGTGGAGCAGTTTTGTGCTCTTCATCCTCTGCTGCCAAACTTGGCTCCTGAGCTTGCTTAGCTGAGCCAAACTCTATGGGGAGTTCTGAAAACAGCCTCTGTGGTTTGCTGATTAAGCCTCTAGGACAGAGGCCATCTGCCTTCCCCATACCCTGCTACTAGGGTCAATCACGTTTTTTTCTCGGGCTGAGTGTACACATGCAGATAAACACGTGTTCACAGAAACACAGAACCCTCTGTGCACGAATTTCCCCAGCAGCCTCCAGTCTAAGCTAAATCCACCCCCCCACACACACCCATATACACACCAGTCCTGGCCTTCAGAGCTCTCACCAAGAACTTATTCATATATAAAGCCAACATTACTGAAAGCCTGCCATATGCCAAGTGTTCTTCTTGGAGGGTACAAAGGTGACTGGCACAAGGCCCCTGAACCCAAATTTTGGGTAGAGGGACAGATGAATAAGCATGTATATGTATGTGATCTAATGAGATGAGGTCTGGGAGAAGGGGAGAGATCGTGGAGCACAACTGACCCAGCTTTGAGGGTGTAGGGAGGGCTGAAGGCTGAGTGCTTCCTCACTCACAGGAGAGTGGTGGCGCAGGGGACCGCATCTGAGCACCATCAGCCATTTACTTATATTTCACCAAGCAGTGAGCAACGCAGACAGGCTTTACTAGGTAAAGAAAATGCTAGGCTTTGCTACATCCAGCAGGAACCTCATAGTCAAATGAAGGTGTCTAAGGAGGTGACACTTAACTGGAGACCTAAAAGAGTAAGAGTTAGCGAGGTGTCTTAGGGTTTCTATTGCTGTGAAGACACCATTGCCGCCATTACTCTTATAAAGGAAAAACATTTAATTGGGGTGGCTTACATTTTCAGAGGTTTAGTCAATTATCATCATGTAACAACATGACGGTGGCGGTGTGCAGGCAGACATGGTGCAGGAGAAGAAGCCAAGTGTCCTACATCTTGACTTATGGGCAACAGGAAGTGGTCTGTCTCACTAGGTGTGGCTTGAGCATATATGAGACCTCAAAGCCCACCTCCACAGTGACCCACTTCCTCCAACAAGGCCACACCTACTCCAACCAGGCCATATACCCCCTAATTGTGTCAGTCCCTATGGGGGCCAATTTCTTTCAAACCACCATACTAGGTAAAGGAGCGCGATAACACATGCTTGTACAGGGAGGAACCAATTTACATTGAAAAATGAGAAAGAATTTGATGCTCATGATAAAAAAAAAAAAAAAAAAACCATGGAAGCTAACATCTCTGGTGTTACGAGACAGAGACAGACGAGATCGGGCGCGTTCAGGGTGGTATGGCCGTAGACTAACGAACGCCTTTAATCCCAGCACTCGGGAGGCAGAGGCAGGCGGATCACTGTGAGTCTGAGGCCAGCCTGGTCTGCAGAGCCAGTGCCAGGATAGGCTCCAAAGCTACACAGAGAAAGCCTGTCTTGAAAAATGAAAAAAAAAAAAGAGAGAGAGAGAGAGAGAGGTAGCATAAAATGAGGCTGGGAAAGCAGGGTCAGGGAGAATTTCTGGAAAGTAAAACCTGGTGTTGTTATCTGGGTTTAAGCCTGTGAACCTAAAGAGCTTTGGTGTGACTTGGACCAGCACGTACCTGGGCCTGCTAGACCTTGTACACCAGTTGATGAGTAATGAAAATAGGGCTTAGACAGCACAAAAGCTGGATGGAGACATAGTCAGTTGGTGGAGTGTCTGCCTAACATGTACGAGGCCCTGGGCCTGATTGCCAGCATTGCATAAACCCAGTGTGGTAGAGCATGCCTATAACCTAGCATTTAGGAGGTGGAGGTAGAAGGATCATAAATTCCAGGTCACCCCAGCCTACATAGCAAGTTTGGGACCTGGGATACATGAAGCCATGCCTTAAACAAAAACAAACAACAACAACAACAACCAAACCTCCCAAAAATGGCAAAAACTAAACAAACTCAAACAAAAGGAACACAATTAAAGGCTAACAGAAAGGTACTTTTGGGACTCCCTTAGCCTTAAAAAGCCACCACATGGGCAACACAGGGCCCTGTATCAGCATGGATGTCACTGCATCAGATAGGGACATGGCAGTCAAATGTGAGGCTCCTACAAAGGAGGCATTGTATTGGTTACTTTTCTCAAGCTGTAACAAAATACACGACAAAAGCAACTTAAGGGAGGAAGGGTTTACTAGGATTTACAGTTTAAAAGTGCAGCTCAATTTGGCAGGGAAGACAAGGAGACAGGACTGTGAGGCACCTGGCCACATTGTATCCACAGCCAGGGAACAAAGAGCTGGCTCCTGTGTTTACCAGGCTTTCTCCTTTCATTCACGCCAGGACCCCAGCCCATGGGACAGTGACCCACATTCAGGGTGGGGCTTCCCTCGTTGGTTGCACCTTTCTGGAGACACCCTCATAGACACGCTCAAAGTTGTGCTTCCATGGTGACTTAAGTCCAGCCAAACTGATAGTGAAGATTGTCGGTCACAGCTGTGGTAGGATGGCTCACAGTGATGAAAAGAAGGCATCCAGGGGTGTTCTCAGCTTCACCTCATCTTGGTATTTGAGTTCCACATGACTCCTTTGGACTGAGTGCCGCTGTGGTCCTTTGACCCAAAAGGGACAACAGACACCTGCCAGCTTGAACAGATTGAGGCACAAGTGGTTAGTTATTTTAAATTAGCCGGTTATACAAGTGTAACTTATACACTAAAGGATGGGAAGCAATGGAAAGCACACAGGAGAAGAACTGTCAACACTAGAATTATGTGTGTAAATGAATTTTAAAAACTAAATCCAGAGAGACTAATTAAAGGGTTATATTAGCCGGAAGCCCTTGTAGCATCAAGTGAGAGAAAACTTAAAGAGCTTAAAACTTGTCATGGCATTTATTGTTTACCCACAGGAATGAGAAAACAAGGTATCACTGAAGATACTTGGCCTACTCAGTGATGTCATTAGACCCCAGGCATGTTCCATCCGATGCTTCGCCACCTTCAACACATTGGTTGTTTATTCTGCTGATTGTTCCCTCTTGGTGGCAGGTGGATACCTCTGCTCCAGACATAAAGGTCTTATTCAAAGCAAGAAAAACAAACAACAAAAACACAAAACTTTTCCAGAAGCCCATCACAGTAGACAGCTCTTTATATTTTATTGGTCAAAGCTTAGTGGCATTTTCCCTCTAATGGCAAGCAAGGTTAGACAATTGAATGTGTGTCATAGAGGGACTGGAGCCAGGCACAGGGCTGGTCTGAAATTAAATGAAGATGTGATAAGTAAAAGAAGTTCTGTTGGGCATGAAATACTGATGGTCACAGAAGCAGGAGAGGATGGTCCAGGGTACAAGAAGTGGAGTTTATAGAGCTTGGTAACTGGACGTGGGGAATGAGGGACCAGAGGAGTCATGGGTTAGGGTACATTCACTAAGATGGACATGGGAAAAGTCAGGGATGGGGAAGATGGAGCCATTTTTAGAATCCAGGTGTCTTATGGTGTCATTCTGAAGTCCACGTGTCAGCATGTATCCCAGTATTAGCACCTAGTATGGAGGTGAGTGATGCCTTGGGGTACAGGATAAGAACTCGAGCATTGTGGGAGCCACAGGGCATGTGAGTTTGTTAAAGAAGATGCTTGTACACAAGGAGGTGTGCAACTTTGACAAGGCTGGAGAGAGAAAATGCACACTCTTGATCAAGCAGCAGGAGGCATGGGTGTTTTAGAGGTGAGAGTGTGCTGTGCTCGGCCACGAAGGTGGGCGTCTCACCACCCCAGCTCGGCTTTTGTTTTACTTCTGTAGATAAGCCATACTTGTAAACATCATTTCACTGTATCTCATGAGCATCCTTTGAAGCAAATCTATTATTGCCTCTTTTAGAGATGGAAAAAAAAACAGTCTAAAAGTGATCCCTCATCACTCCAGAGAGGAACGGCATTTGGGTAGGCTGTGTGCCAGCTCTGACCCTGCCATCTTTTGACCTGTGGCCAAAGGCAGGGGGAGCTCTCCAAGTAGCTTCCTTCTTCCTGCTTCCTTGGGGCCAATAAGGCTGATAATTGTCTCTTATGAAGCAGCTCATGATGGTCAGCAGGAGCTGGGTGCTATTTCACTTCTTTATCCATCGCTTGACTTACTCTTCTGCAGTGGGTTGAGTTTTGAACATGGGCATGGTTTAGAGAAGGAAGAAAGAAGGAAATAGCTTTCTTAGTGTCACCATTGACGTTAGGGCTGATGTGGCACATAACTAAGCGTAAATCAGACTGCTGAACTTCACACAGATCTGGGAACCCTCTCATCTGGCAGCTGCAGTTGACACTGGGGTTCAATGGAGAAGTGGGTGCTGGGTCAGCACAACCAGCAGAAGGTTCCCTTTAGGAAGGAATAATGAAACCAGGGGAACACAGACAAGGATGTGGTGTGGCCAAAAGGGCAGGTGGCTAGCATCTGTTGACTCCGTCCCAGCCTAAGGCCTGCCATGGTCAGCTGTGTGGTCTCTCGGGGCCATCTGAGCTGGGGGTGAAGTTATTAGGAACACAGTGGTGGCTGACAGGCAGACAGGACCAACAAGACATCTTTAGAGCAGCAGGAATGTGACATATGGGCTCTGCCATACTGGCTTTTATGAGCGACATAAGGAATTTAAGAGCAGACTGGAGACACTCCAACATGGTCCTCAAGGGCTCAGAACTCCATCTTGAAAGATTTTATCCACCAAGTTGCGTATATCAGGTAATTCATTTCTCTGCGGGGATGTGATGGTGATAGAATTCTAGCTAAAGGCAAAAACATGCAGCATTTTAATTTATCCTCTGCAATCTTTCCACGTGATAAGAATGTTATTAAGCCTTTGAAAATCCTGAAAGTTATCTCCCAGGCTTTCTTTGGTTATTCGTGAGAACTCAGAAAGACAGAAGAGTGGAGGGGGCTCTCAGGAGCACTGGTTCCCGTGATCACAGAGGCCTATCTCTTCTCATGTGGTGGAGCCCTGCACCCTTGCTGGGCAAGTTGGGGTGTCTCTTCCCTGTCCTAGCTCTTTGTGGATGTCCAGACAGCACATTCTTGCCTTGCTTATCTGACAGCCAGCCCTTGTCAAGGATGACCTTCCACTCCACCTACCTCTGTCTTCACCCCTAGCCTTCACCTCAGTTACCTGCTATACGGTCTTCTGACCCTCTGGCTGGAAAACCTGTCACTCAGCCTTTTTCCTCAAGTATCTCCGCTTACTAACAAGGAGAGACTCTCAGTTCAGCTGAGGAGTCCAAATGCTGTGGAGGTCATGAGTGATGATGTGGGCTTGGGGATGCCAAATGTTGGGAGAGGCAAGAGAGGAAGAATTGATGGAATTCTACCTGAAGGGCCAAGAGAGAAGCCAGGGAGCATTCTGGGAACAGTCTCCAGGAAGGTGAGCCTGGCGTGGGGAGGGGAGGGCTGGCATCCCCTCCGACAGTTAGCTCACTTGCATGGCTCAACTTAATATAAGCTTTCTCTCTGCCTTTGCTCCACATATATTTATCGAATGTCTTTTCAGTGCCAGGTAACAAATGTGAATCAGCCATTCTCTGTCTGGAAGGAGCTCATAGGCCAGTGGAAGATGATTCTCATAGTCCTTCGAAGTTAAACACTCTGATCCCAGCCTTGCAACTGAATGGCCCCACCCCTCCCCATCCCATCCCATGTCATCAAGCAGCCTCAACAAGTCTCACCCAGGCCTCCTCAGCCTGGCCTCTGTTCTATCCTGAGGCCTGAAGATGTCAGTGTTTTCTCTGTCTGTTCTGGCAGCTGCAAGGATTTCCTGGGTAAACCTGGAGACTGTACCTGATGATCTCATCCACTCCACGTATCTGCAGGAGAGACTCCAGGATGTCCATGCACTTGCCCTTCCCCTTTTCTGGCAGCCTGAGGAAGAGTAGAGAGGAAGCGTTCATCTGCTTCCCTGAGCTTGCTCCTTCCAGGGAGAGCATGGGTTAGTTCTCCTGTGTGCCTCACTGCCCTGCAGGAAGCTAGGTCTGGACAAAATGAAGGAGGTAACTCATGAACCCACAGCACCTTCATGTCCCAAGTGTATGAGCTTCCCAGACATGGGCTCTTGGTCATATTTATAGTATTAGGCATGTGTGAACCAGGCCTTAGATCTGATCAGAAAACAGTTGGTTATCCCCCATAACATTCACACCTACGCCCTGCTACAATGGGTGCATTGCCAATCCAGTCACTATTGTAGTCTTCAGGGTTCAAGCTGGGTGACCCTGACTTTTACTCCCCCCACTCCAGCAGTCTACACAACACCTTCCATCAGTATGAAAGCTAACCAGCAGAGAGGAAGCTTCTCCGTCAGTACCAAATTGATGCCTCTGTGTCCAACGTCCAACGTATATGGAGTCTTCAGCAATAAGTCTCACGATCGTTGTGATGGACAGCCAAGAGCAATGGCAATCGCTTATACTGTTTGGGGATTCTGTGGGACAGATGCCCCCGACTAGCAGCTTGAAGGGAGGTATCACACATCTGGCAAGGGGCTGTTTATTTGTCAGCCTATGGCTGTGGGAGGAACATTATCCTCTGTGTAGAATAAATCCAATTAAACTCTGCTGGGCTGGGTGGAAAAATGGTTGGATCATGGGGGTGCTGCCCTCGGAAGAGATCAACATGGTATTCACAGGACTGCAGGTAGTTCCTGAGTGAGTTATTGGGAGAAACAAGACTGCGCCTTTTTTCCACCTGCCTTCTTGTCTGAACACATGACCTCCCCATCTCACACGTACCCTCTATGATGTGACACAGATGGGGGACCCTCATAAGGGCTGACTTTTGGCCTCTGAAATCATAAGCTAAACAAACCTCTTTACAAAACACCCCAGCCTCCGGTATGCTGTTACAGCAACCGAAGGCCAGTTCTACATTCTGTTTACTCCGTGTCCCTGTTCAGACATTCCTCTCTTCTAGGTCTAATTTGCTGCACATCTCCCTTAGCTTCCAGCAGAGCAGACGGTCACTGAACATGTGCTGAGTGGCTGAACAAGTAATAATAACATGGAGTGAATGTTGGGTGTATAATGCCGGAAGTGGTCTGGAATGATAAAGCTCCTGTGTCTGTTTCCTCCAGTTCCCATCTTGCTTTGACTTTCTCCAAGGCAGACCAGAAGGTTGGCTGGAAAGTTGATCATGATTTGTTTAAGGAATGAGGAACAAGGAAAGGAAGAATCTCCTAGAATTTGGTCCCCATTCCTTAGGCTAAACAAGTTGCTCCCGTGGGGGTTCATTTGTGAGCACTGGTGTGGTAGCTAATTTAAGCTGGCTTCCTCTCCACCCCTGCTTGCTGAGTTGTCTACAAAGTGGCTACCGGGGAAATTCAATTCTTCCAAGAAGCTACCCCTGGGAAAACCACCTCCCAGCACACGTGGCAGACAAGGAGTGCATTAACTTGAGAAAGTAGCTGCTGGCAAGAAGTGGACCAGTTCTGGAAGCTGGTACCAAAGGTGTGTTGTTGTGCCTGGCCAGAGAGCAACCACACAGATCTGGCATTGACCACGTCCTTCTACTCTGCCACAGCCCGGAATTGGGGGGTGGGGTGGCAGGCAGACAGACTGCAGAATCAGAGGGCTAGGACTTCCTGGGTTTCCGGGCTTGGCAGTTTTGTCTGGCCTTTGCTAAGTGTCAGGTGACCTCTATAGGCAGAGTCCAGTGAGTGACTGAAAAGCACAAGAGAGACCTCCTGGGTATATGGCCCTGTCCTTGAAAGGCCATGGAAGAGAGAATGTGGGGACATCACATGGTATTAAGTCCAAACACCCAAGCTATTAGCCCCGGCCATGAGGAGGTCAATTGCAAGATGAAAATGAGGACCTTGCAAAGGTCATAGTTGGGGAGGGTGATCAAGGCAGACTACATTCCCACAACCAGTATGGAAGGGACTGTGCTGCCTTCACCCCACAGAAAAGCCTGGGGATGTTCATCCAGGGCCCACCAGGGTAGTAACTACCCTCGGCATGGGGGACAGTGCTGTGCCTGGTCCTTCTTTCATCAAGGTCAGGGAATACAACAAAGCAGTTTAGAAAGAGATAAGATCCTGAAGCAAAGGGCTGGGGCCCTGGCCTTGTCACTGGCCATTCCACTAAGTGGCTTTCAGGCAGTGTCTCTAGTACTACACCTCAAACTCCCAGGAAAGGCAGCCTTTGACCTGGGAGAAGATGTGGAGGCCTCCCAAGCTAAGGGGTGGCTGCTGGTCCCCAGCTCCATTTCAGCTCCAGTCTGCCCTCTCTCACCTCTCCAGACAGAGTCATTCATCAGATGATAAGGGGTTGGTAAAAGTACCATCCACGGCCCTTTCTGTAGCCACAAAATTGAACTTAGCCTGCATCATACGACCTCTCCCTCCCTCATCAGAACAGAAAGGAGGCTGACAGGCTGGCGCCACAGGCTGCATCTCACCAAGTGAGACTGACCAGAAATCACTGTCAAGGCCTCGGCTTGTGTTTAAAATGCAGCTGTGTGACTCAGAACGATGGAGGTGGGGTTCAGAGCGGCTTGCACAGATAAGTTGTGTGGCTTTCAGTGGACAGTATGACTCAAAGGGGCAAAAATGAATACATGCCTTTCTGCTGAACAAATATCAACATTCACAGTGTGCTAGTCCTACCCTTAAAATAACCCATGGTTAGGTACCACCCTATAGTTGCCATTTTGCAGAAGGGGAAACTGACGTACCATGTAAACTAAACCAAGATCTCGTTGTGGCTGGAAGGTGGTGGAGCCAGGATTAATCTGAGGCAGACCCTGAGCACTTAGAAGCAAGGCACTGGGGACAGATGAGTAGGAGCAGTGTCTTCTGAGCCCTGAGCACTGTCAGCACTCTCATCATCTGTGCTAAGATCACCACTGCAAGGCTTTAAAAAGGCAAAATGAACTCATTCAAATCAAGTCTTCAGAGACGGTAGAGAGCATACGAGTCTCCTTCCCCTATTTTCTCCATCACCATCTTGTCAGATGCCACAGCCCACAGCAAAGGAACCACCCAATATGCACCCCAAAATCCATTGCTATACCCAATATCACCATCACCTGAGACATACCAATTCTCACACCCCTAAAGCCCAGAATGTTCTCAGGACCAGACACGGTAAGCCTTCCAGCCCCTCCACAGGCTCACCCCTTCACAGGCTCACCCTGATTCTCTATTCTTATCCCACAGCTGCCTGTCCATCCCAACGCACTGACAGCTCTCACCCTGGGCCCTTCGACTCCACACAACTGTTCCCTCCAGCTGCTTGCCCACACCAAGGTACTCTTCATCCAGCAGCCAGTGGACTTCTAAAACCTGGTAGGGTCCTGCTGCTTCATTACCCATCCCTTCTATTCTTCATGATCTGCTTGAACTATGACCCAAATTGCAAATTTGGGCCCACATAAGGAGATCCTGTCACAAAAACAAAAACAAAAAACAAAACAACAACACCTCCCCAAGCATGTATCTGTCTATACATTTACTATAAATCCCACGAGTGTAGGGACCAGTTGGCTTTGTTCACATAGCAAACCCTAGGCCAAACACAAAGCACATGGAATGTTTCTCATAAATGTTTGCTGAGCAAATGAAGAGCTTGGAGAAGCGGCATTCAGAGAGTAGCAGTTTGATGCACACTGAGAGCTGGGATGTCAGCTGTGTAGTCCTGTATTTCAGTCCTGGGAGCAATTAATTAAGCAAACACTGATATATGCTCTGAACACTGGTTACATGTTAATCAAGTGACCACCACTGTGGCCCTATGGCACTGTGATGACATCTCCTCTATTCATAGTGAGGACGCTGGGTTCCTAGACAGCCTGGGGAGCTTGCTCAAGGCCCCACAGTTGGTAAGGAGTGAAACAGGCTGCAAGCCAGAGTCCATGTTCTGAAGGGCGTGTGTAGCTAGTACATGGAAGCTTCTGCAGGTCCTCTCTGGACCAGTGCAGGGACAGTTTGAGATGCAAAGGGCAGACTCCAGAGGCTGTGCTAGGCAGCAAGCCGGGAGGGAGGGGGCATGGAGG